GCTTTGGTTGTGTGTTACTCTGAAATTAAATGCTGTATGTGATGAACATGATGAGATTGAGAAATAATTCATGTTAGGCTTCTTGGGTAATCACCATTATAGTATTGGATGCTAGAGATAGATTCAAGAATTAATGAAATCAATTTAGGATTCTTGTGCTTAATGAATTTAGAATTATTAACCTTCAATTTGTTAGGTGCGGATTGTTAATAAGGATGAATAGGAAAACATAGCCCGAGAGGGTATGTTGACATAGTAGTGAATCCGATTTACAACCATTGCATGTGAATGTGAAAATAGTGTAACTCTTAGGTTTAACCCATAAAAATCCAAACGAAGTCAAAACCCTACCCGTTTTACTTAATTTGATATTCTGTGTTTCATTTGCTTTCCTTGTTAAAAATTAATTCTTTGTTAAATTTGATTTTTGTTTTCTTTCAATTACAATTTGCTCCCACCAATCCAAGATTTTTGATTGCTTCAACTTGTTAACGTTAGGAACTTAGTGCCTTGCTACTAGTCCTCGTGGGAACGATATCCTACCCATCACTCTATTACTTGAGCGACTAGTGCACTTGCTAATTTTGCATGTTGTAGTAAACATGCATCACACCCCAGCGTTTTTCAGATCGAAGGGCATGACTTTGTAGCAGTACAATCCTCAATCTATAATATATGAGGTATGCTCCTTGTCAAGCATGTACATCAGGATTTGATTATATACCGAGTAAGCATCTATGAAACTTAACAACTCATGCCCGGAAGTGGTATCAACGAGCTGATCTATTCTGGGCAAAGGGAAACTATCCTTCGGACAAGCTTTATTGAGATCCGTGAAAGCAAAATAGGTTCGCCACTTCCCGTAAGATTTCTTCACCAAAATAGGATTGGCGACTCAAGTCGGGTAATGAGCCTCCCGAATAAATCCGATTGAGAGGAGCTTATCCACCTCAACTTTAAGAGCAGCATAACTCTCTAGGTCCATAGGTCTTCTTTTCTGGAAAACTGTCCTGACCTCATTATCGATGTTGAGTACATGACATATTACATTCGAGCTGATCCCGATCATGTTAGCATAAGTCCATGCAAAAACATCTATATTCTGACTGAGGAAGCTCGTTAGCAAGCTGAGAGTTAAGATTGCTTCCGATTCTCAATGCATGAGTCAGCTCGTTCTGGTTGACTAGTACCTTATATAGAGTCTCAACAAGCCCACTGTGGGAATACTCCTCCTGAACATGAGGATCTATGCTATCTTCCACTAGACTTGGCTATGGTTCGATCCTACTGATCGGTATAGCCTGCTTAGGAATGCCTATTGGCTTTCCTTTCCCTTTGCATGCCATCTGCAATGCTTTTACATAGTAGTCGCAAAATTCACACCGAGACCTTTTAACTTCCCCACACCCTATTAAAGTGAGAAATTTCATCTTCAAATGATAGATGGAGGTGACAGCTTTGAAGTTCGGTACAGAGGTCGTCTCAATATGCCATTAAAAGCAGACAAACAGTCTACCACAATAAATTTTTTCATCTTAGTCATTTCGTGGGTCTCACCCAAAGTGATAGGAAGTGCAATCATTCCCTTGGGAATCAGATGATCTCTAGTAAAGTCATAGAGGGAGATAAAGGCAGGCTTCAAATCTACCTCTTCTAATTGCATTTCCTCGAATGCTCGCAGGAATAGGATGTTCACGATGCTCCCATCATCCACCAATATTCTGTGGACTTCGCACCGACATATTTCAACCGCAATGATGAGTGCATCCTCATGAGGGTGATGCATTCGTACTACTTCTTTCTCCGAGAAGGTAATCTCCTCCTCTCTGTGCACCTTAGCAGGTCGTGGTGTTGTATTTAATACACTCACGAGATCATGACAAGCCTTTCAAGCATACTTCTCCTGAGCACCTCGAGAATTCCCCATGAGGTGAGGTCCTCCAAATTAATACCAACGAAATTAAGACCCTTACGATCACGATGCTTCTTCCCATTGTCCTTTTGATCCTTCTCCCGAGTAGGAGTAGGACTATCAACATACTCCAATGAGGTCTTCAATAGCCTGCTTAAGAGCTCAACATTTATCGGTATGATGCCTATTATTTCGATGATAACGGCAATACTTCTTGTTGTTTCTTATTGGATGAGGATTTTCCATGGGCTTTGGCTCTCCGAGCAGACTACCTTTTTTTGATTTATCCAGAATAGCTGATACCGATGCATTTAATGGAGTGAACAAATTCTTATTACTATCGCGACAAGGGACCTATGCATAAGATTTCTTGGGCTTAAACCACCATTTCTTTCCCTTTCCTAATCGTCATTAGCCTATTTTCAATCAAGTCTTTTACTACTCTCTCTCTAGCTTTCCTCCCTCCGATTAGGAGCGCTGGTCGAAGGACCGGGGTCGTGGCGATGCAAAGTAGCCATTGAATTTTCAATCCTGATATATTTCTTAGTGAGGTTGTTAAAGCAAGTGAGGGAAATATCATCGTCAGATTGTAATTTCTTCCATATGTCGGTTTGTGGGCGAACTCCTATAATAATAAGAGTTCGAACTAAATCTTCGGGTGTATTAGCCACCTTATCTAGCTCCTTGTGGAACCTGTCAATATAGGACTATAGGGATTCATTCCTCTTCTGTTGTATGTTGCTAAAAATAGCTCAACAACATTGAGAACTTTCTATTAGCCTAGAAGTGTCTCAAAATAACGAACTCATCGAGTTGATAGATTCTGGTGGAAGCAATCTAAACCAGCGCTTAGCATGGGCAGTCAGAGTCACTACTAAGCAGCGACATTTCGCCAAGTTAGAAACTTGGTGAAGCTCCATGAGGTCGTTAAACTCATAGAAATGATCCTGCGGATCAGAATTCCCATCGAATGCTTGCATATCGAGCATTCTAAATCTTGACAAGAGAAGAGCGATCAAAACCACTGGGGAAAAGGGAGACGCCTTAGCGACCTACCCCCGCTTGTTCTGTTGAGCTCTAAGCTGATCTAAAGCTCGTTGTAACTCCTCAATCTGAGGAAGCGAAGCCACTTGGGGATCACTTTCTGCAATATGGGTTTGCTCCTCATGATTGTGATTAAGGAAAGACCACAGATCAGACTCTTCCATGCCTCGGTCGAAGCCTTCGGCATACCTTGGCACATGCTAGCTGGAGCCATGTGAAGGCACTAAATGGCTTGGGGAGTTATCCCGACCTCCGCGGTGGTCAGAATCAACTCACGGATGGTAGGTATCTCCCTCGCGGTGATGGTCGGAACCATCATTCCAGTGATAATAGGAATCTTCATGCCATACACTCTTGTGGGGGTGCCCATGCGATGTGGCGTGAGATGGCTCATGATGTGACATACCGCCAAGTACGACCGATATTCACTGGCCCCTTCGAGCCTTTTGGCCCATTATCAGCCACCTACTTTCCCTTGCTCTTATGCATTGTAGTGCGCGTGGTATGAGCTTTTGGCCATTTCCATGCCTTAGTGCGACCTACAGGTGTTTTTGGAGGTGGTACCGCCTTGTCAAAATTGGGCGGTATGACTTGATCCAAACGATCTAACATTCGATTAACCGTTTGGAGAGTATTATTAAACCTCTCCAAGTAATTCATCACAGTTGGATTGAGCTAGGAGGTCAAGGGAATGTCTGCGGCGGTACCTTGGGGAACTAGCTAGAGGTATTTCGGGAGAAGTAATACCCTGTACTTGGGGGATCTCCTCATTGTTGATGCTAATGTTCTCGGTTTCGAGACCATGAGTCATTTGTTCACAAGTGGAACTGAGTGATCAGAAAGTTTGAATGAGAGCGGATATAAAATCTGGAGCACTTCCTCTAGCGTCAAACTGTTAATGCGTGATTTTGACACCAACAACTCGCACATGCAAAGTGTTAAGAAAGTCTTAGAAATTATACGTGATTGATTATGAGAGTTGATCAATGTAATTGAATGCAAAGACTGAATAATGAATGAGAAATGATTTTTAAAGTAGTTCGGATGTTTAAAGTGATTCCTACGTCCACTGTTTCTTTTATATATGAGAGATTACAAGAGGTCGCGTATAGTGAACAGCGAGCATAGGTATAATAACTGAGTATTCAGAGAGAATATCAAGTCAGTTTCTTTCTCGTAGGTTATCTTTGCTCTGAAAATAAAGATTACAATCAGAATCAAAATGAGGGTTCACGATCCCAAAAATGAGAGGGGGAGTCCTCTATTTATAGTAATGAGATTCAAGGTAATGATTACAAATCTGTAAGTTGGTTGATGCCGTGCAAGTCATTCCTTACCTCCCATTGGCTAATAACTTAGGAAATATCCTCAAATTATCTAAGGCTTGGACAGGTGTGCAATCCTTAGTCACTTATAGACAAAACCTGAATATGATAAGTTGATGATAGTCGTATTTTTTTCTGTCTTGGGGCAACGCGGCAGCTTTTGGATGGTGCAAAACCTTCATGAACTCTAATTGGTGCTTGCTGGTGTAAACTTATGTCAACCCTGATTTTTTAGGTATAATACTTAGTATTCTACTTTATTATATATATTTCGCTAGATGACGTTAGTGATTGTGTTTCCGCTACATAACCGTTGAGAATGAGAAATAATCCAATTGATAGTTTTGTACACTAGTGAACAGGACAAACACGTATGCAATTTATTCAACCCTGTCACAATGCTATTGTACCCACAGTGTCCTGGAATTTCAATTCGGCAATGGTTTATTATCGGATTCTTGAGTGGCTAAAAGAATATATTATCAGCTATACTTAGGTAACTAAGTTCAGAATCTTGGAACACCTTGTATTTGGAGGAAACCTAAGCCAAATAATTTATCTCGAATTTTCCAACCTTAAATTTTAAAAACTTATGAATGCTTTCCACTTCTAAATTTCCCGAGAAAATGAAAGAAAGCTATATGTTTATTTCCCTCCTCCTCTGTCTTCTTTCTTTCAATCTCTCAGTTCACACAGAGTCCAACCGAGACTCCATACACATGGAAGCACTAAAGGCCAGCCTGGGAAACTCGAGCATTTTGAAGTGGTTCGACCCGGAACCGTGTAAATGGAATTACATTACATGCAGGCAAAACCGAGTGATTAGGATCCAAATTAACTACTTAAGCCTGGGAGGAAGCCTTCCTCAAGACCTCCAGTACCTTGACGCTTTGGAAATTCTTGAGGTGGCGAGCAACCGACTCAGTGGGCCAATCCCAAGTCTTGCTGGTTTAAGTTATCTTAAACATGCGCAGTTTGACAAAAACTTCTTTTCACATGTGCCCTTTGATTTCTTTAGAGGATTAACGTCATTACGATCTATAAGTTTTGATTTTAATCCAAATATCTCTTCCTGGGAGATACCTGAGAGTTTGAAAGATGCCAGAGGTTTGAAGAGCTTTTCTGCAAATGTTGCTTGTATTTCTGGGACAATTCCGGACTTCTTTTGGGCGGATACATTTCCTCGTTTAAGGCACTTGCATTTGGCTATGAACAATCTCCATGGGAAAATTTCATCGAGTTTTGCCAAGTCTTCGATTCAAACCCTTTGGTTACATGACCAAAATAGCGATTTCAAGCTCCATGGATCAGTTGCAGTGTTGCGAAACATGACTTCTTTGACTCAAGTTCGGCTTGCTGGTAATTCTTTTACTGGTCCTTTGCCAGATTTATCTAAGCTCATTAGTTTGGAAGAATTGAATTTGAGATATAATTGGCTGACGGGTGTTGTTCCTTTGTCTTTGGCTAACCTTCCTAAGCTTAGTAATCTCGATCTATCTGGCTCATAATTTGCTTCAAGGTCCAACTCCAGCCTTTGTTAATTCTAAACTTGATTCGGATATAGGAAAAGACGCAAATGGATTTAACAGTTTTTGCTTAGATGATCCTGGTGTTGCTTGTGACAGTGGGGTCGAAGTTTTGTTGTCCATTGCAGAGTCTATGGGTTATCCACTGGTGTTTGCAAAGAGTTGGAAAGGAAATGACCCTTGTGATTCCTCTCGGATATGGAAAGGGATCTCATGTGATGATAAAGGAAACATTAAGGTTGTTAATTTAAAAAATTTGGGGCTTTCAAGTAAAATTTCTTCCAATTTTGCTATTCTTGCATCATTGGAACAATTGATACTTTCCAATAATTCACTTACAGGTCCTATACCAAATGAACTTACAGGTTTGCCGAATCTTGTTAAGTTAGATGTGTCTAATAATCATCTTTCTGGTGAAGTGCCATCTTTTAGACTAAATGTGAACGTTAACACTGATGGGAACCCTGATATAGAAAATTATAGACATGTCCCTCATCCGGAATCACCTGAGAAACCTCCCAGTGAAGTTGGTTCGAGTGGAAGTTTGAATACTAGAATGATTGTTTGTTTTGTAATTGTTGCCGTTTGTGTTGTGATTATTTTTAGTTTAGGTGTCTTGTTTACCAGAAAAAGAAAGCATTCCAGGTTCTGGAAATATTTGAAGAGTGCAACTAACAATTTTAGTGAAAAAAATATATTGGGAAGAGGTGGTTTTGGAATTGTTTATAAAGGCGAAATGAGTGATGGGACAAAGATTGCAGTAAAAAGGATGAAATTCGGAGTGGTAAGTGAACAAGGCTTGACAGAGTTTTAAGTCTGAGATTGAAGTTCTTACCAAGGTTCGACATTGCCATTTGGTGGCACTGCTTGGATATTGTTTGGAAGGAAATGAGAGGATTCTTGTTTATGAATTCATGCCCCAAGGAAGCCTTAGCAGGCATCTGTTCAATTGGAAAGAAGAGGGACTGGAACCACTTGAGTGGAGTAGAAGGCTAAGCATTGCTTTGGATGTTGATAGAGGTCTTGAATATTTACATAGTTTAGCAAATGATGGTTTCATTCATAGAGATCTTAAACCATCCAACATTCTTCTTAGAGATGATATGCATGCTAAGGTTGCAGATTTTGGATTGGCTCTTCTTGTTCCAGATAAAGGAAAGGATTCAATTGAAACAAGATTAGTTGGAACTCCTGGGTATATTGCTCCAGAGTATATAGGTAAATAGTTTTTTGTTTTTGTTTTTATCCAATAGAATTGATAAGTGGCGTAGCATTTTCTTACATATTTTGCAACTATTTTGTTTTCTTATACTGTTATGCAAGTTCCTAATGAGTAAATTGTTTCTTGTAGTCAATTTTATTAAATGCTTTTCAGAAACATGTAATTGTTTTTGAAAATTTATAAACGGTTCCACAAACTTGAAACTCAATTTTTCTTTGTGCTTTAGAATTCGATTGGAAACTTTCTGAAAACCGCTCTATGTCTGTGAACTAAGAATTCCCTTGCATCATCTCTGTTCTTTGATCACTCAACCACTAGGTCCAAAACTGCTCTCAATTTAAAAACCAAACGTTTCCAACAAGTCACCTCTCAAATAATTCTTCATGGTCTAATTTCACTTAATTTTTAATATTTCATAAAATATGTTTTCACAGTTTTTAGTTCCATATGATTTAACAGTGACAGGACGAGTTACTACGAAGGCTGATGTGTTCAGCTTTGGAGTAATCTTGATGGAGTTAATCACAGGTAGGAAAGCCATTGAAACGTCTCATCCAAAGGATATTGTTGTTCCATGGTTCCGCAGAATGCATACTAACAAGTCTACTTTTCCAAATGCCATCGATGAAACTGTCGCGTTAGATGAGGAAACTCTTGCAAGTGTAAGCACAGTGGCTGAGTTGGCTGACCATTGTTGCACAGGCGAGCCCTGCCAAAGGCCTGACATGAATCACATCGTTAACGTACTCTCATGTCTAATCGAGCCGTGGAGGCCAGTCAAACCTGTTTATGATGACATTTATGGAATTGACATTCACAGGGACAGATCGCAATGCCCCTACTAAACAGAGACTAGATGCTTATGGAATTTTTTGAAAATAAAGAAAAAAAGTCAATTTTGTTGCAGTGCAAATCTTTTGCGGCCTGCATATGTATTGTCCAGAAGTTCAGTCTCTTATAAAGAAGCAATAAATTGGCTTTATACTTCTCCTGAGGATATGGTGTACATATCGCACGGTTCCGCAAAATAAATGCATTCGACAAGCGCACATGTATTGTGAATGACGACCATTGATCAAACGATTGAGGAGAAAACTCATGCAAGTGTGAGCAGGCCGAGATTAATTGCTCCACAAATTAGCCCTACAAAGGGCTTGGCATGAATCATGTCGTCAACATTATTTGATCTCTAGTCTGAGTTGTGAAGGCAAGTAGAACCAATTTATAATGACATGTATGGAATTGACCTTCAATGCTAAGGGTGGACCTCACTGACCCACAAATTAAAATATAAAATAGAAAATTGTTCCAATTCATACTCTTTTAATTTCAGTAAAACAATCTTCACAAAACTTCAAAAAAAAATATTTCTTCACTAATTAAGCAGTTAATATCATTTAATTTGATGGTTCAGCCTCTCTTTATTATCTTTCTTTGTGATAATTCAGCATCAAGTTGGGAGACAATTCAATTGAAGGGCTTGTACTGGAGTGGACGAACAACATGTGAATCTACACATACCGCCGGCTATATCTCAGCATTGTAATTTCCTCTCCAATCTAACGCTATAGCTTGTTTTTTTGTATGGAATATCTAAGCTTAGCGGCTGAATTAACTTTTCTGAGCTAACTAGAAAAGTGTAAGAGTCTTGGAACTCCTCGGATTCGGAGATTAAGTGAGCCAAATAACTAAATTATGCTAACTTGAGTTTTCCATATGTTTGCATTTAAAAAATAAAAACTTTAGATTTCTACAACTTCCTTCCAGTTTTCCCAAGAAAATGAATGAGGGCTATCTCAGTATTAATCTCCTCCTACTGTGTTTCCTTCCTTATACTCTCCAAGTTTAGTCCTAGTCGAGCCAGACGCCTTTTCCATGGAAACACTAAAAGCCAGCCTAGGAAATCCGAAAAACCTGGGATGGCCCGACCCGAATCCATGTAAATGGAGATACATTACGTGCTGGAATAACCGTGACAAGTGAAATTGGAGGGCAATCTTTTTTCATATTTCCTGATAAATAAGACACGAGGAATTTATGTATTGTAGAGTTGTGGTGCTGTTATAGTAATTCTTTCATCGAAGTGGGTTAGTGTTCTGTGTATGGTACAAGATCTCGTTCAGTGCACAAGGTGGGTGACTCCGTTCACGAGCAATGACAAGATGCGAAGGATCTGTCCTTCATTCGATCTTTTGGGTTCTAAAGACGTATGGTTACAACTCACTTTTAAATTTTTTTTTAAAGAGGAGGGAGTCCAACTATTTATTTACACCATAACAACCAACTAAATTGATGATACCGGACAAATAAACTTCTAACATTTAAGATGATATTCAATTCTTCTCTCCTCGGGAGATACCTGAAAGTTTGAAACTTGCAAAGAATTTGCCGAGTTTCTCTGCAAATTATCAAAAATTATGGGGACTATTCGAACCATTTTTGGGGGAGATACATTTCCTGTGTGTAACGATTCTTTGATCAGAAACATGCTTTAAATCTAATCAATCAAACACAAAGGCTAAACCAAGCAACCACAAAGAAATCAGACACACAATATACCATGGTTCACCTATTCAAGAATGAATCGGGTACGTCCACGTTGAGCTCCACAACTGATGGGGCTCTCTGCACTAATTGATTCCACAGATCCAATTACAAACACAATCAAGATTCACTCACTCCTTACTTCACTCAAACTCCCTTAGTAAATCTAAACAGAACTGCAATCTTCACCCTAGGAGAAACTCTATCTTGGTATCCCTAGCCCGAGAGTAAACAGACGCTCTATGAGTGATTTACAAAGAAATCCTCACTTGGTTACAGCAGATTTTACAGAGAAGTATATCAAAGAATCTTAGCTCTAACAATGGCTAAAGTCGAATACAGGAGAGAGAATAAGTGTTGTGTGATCTGTTGACCAAACCCAATTTTTAGACTGTTTTATATGGTTGGATGTGTGGCTTAATAATAGGCGTTGGATCAGCTTTATAATCAATGGCTCGGATCTTGGATGGTTGAATAGTGCGGTACCATTTGGATAAGTGAATTAGCTAAAGCACAAGACGTCACCGTTTCTGGCTTCATCATCAACAAGCCATTTGCATTCCGACCAAGTGTGTGTATGTGTTTATGTTATAAGGACCCAAAGACCATTGCCTGTATAGTATCGGGCTCGCTGGGCGGAAGGATGGGATATGAAAGGTGCTGCCAGGTTGAGGTTCCCAAATTTCTTAGATCCTTTGCCAGGAATTGGTGGTCCAATGACTAGGGCAAAGACCAAGAGGATGAAAGAGGCTTTGCAAGGCTTGATCATGGAAGTGCAATACGAGGTCTGTACTAGAAGACTCTAAAATAAATTCGAAGATTTCAAAGCCACACCAAGGATGGTCTATTATCTTTTTATGCAAGGGGTAGATTCGAACGCGAGTTGATGCAAGGATTATTATGGAATTATTTTCATTTTAATCGTAGGCTTTTTATGTTTAATATCATTAGATTCTTGGTCCTTATATTAAGGTTTATTGAGCCCAATGCTTGTACTGAGCCCAACCCTTCAATATGGGTTCTTTACGTTTTGTTGCTATAACAAGCAGCCATGTTATTTGGGACATATTTCATTCAAGTTATTCACAAAGCATTGCTTGCCTTGTGTTCTTGAATCTCGACTTACAAAGAGTGATCAACCTTGAGGCTCTCAAGATTAGGGTTAAAGACTTAGTTCCAGGGTTCTAACGACACCCAACACTTTTTTTTTTTTTTTTTTGGGAAAAGGAGTATTTTAGAAGAGACAAAAAGTGTACAAAAGCGAGGGGCTAACCCCAAGAGGATACTGATAATCTCAGTCAAAAAAATACATGGAAAACCCACAAAGCCACAAACGGCTTAAAAAGAGCACGCAGGCTCCCTAAAACACAAAACAGAAGATGCCATAAATCACAGAGCCACAATTGGCATAAAAGAGCACGCAAGCTCCTTGCAAAGCTAAACAGGAAGATGCCACACCATCGCACAGCTGGGTCGAGATCTCGTACTTAGGTGTTAACCCAAAATCTTGCTTGGACTAGATCACAAATAGCTAAAGTAGATCTCTGCGAGAGCTACAGTGCTAATGAACACTATTTCCGTTCAAATCATAGGAAATAAATTGTGGCTGAGAGGACCAACCGGGAAAGAAGGTGTCTGAAGTCACCTTGTGTTCTAAGTGCAAGCTAATCCACTGGAGCAAAGGGAGCCAAGAGAGAGTAGGCCATGTAGTGAGCATCCTAGTAGTGACCTCCCACCAAACATAACTTGAGAATTCACAGCTGAAAAAAAAATGGTCATGGGTCTTGTAGCTGAACTCACAAACACACAGGGAGTCGTAATGACACCATGAGAGCTGAGCCGATCCATGGTGTGAAGCCGACCAAGAGAAGTAAGCCAGAAATGAAAGAGTGGCGTGGAATTGCCATGAACCCACAAGAGATATGAATTCGAGTTCACATCCTATTTGTCTCGCAACACATTCCAGGCTGAATCAATAGAGATGCCCAGAGTGGGTGGCCCTTCTACACAAGATGGTCAGGAAGACTCGCTGAAGGCTACATTGTAATGAGTCCCAGATATGCTGAAGTCGGCACTGCCTAAAGGAAAATCCACAAACCATCTCGATAATGTTTGAAACCTGAGCATCCCATGGCAAACCAGTGGAAGTCAAAGTTCTAAAAGGGAGTAGTCACACAAAGGTCCCTGCAGCAGCCAGTAATCTCGCCATAACATGGTGTCCCCACCACACCGTACAAGTCACAATAAACCCCGGCACCAAACCCCGCTAAGTAAAATCTTCCTCCAGCCCATAAAGCCCTAGATTAACTTGAATATGCCAAAAAAACTGACCATGGAGGAGAACCAAACGGGCCCAAGAGGACCATACAGAAGACCTATCATTAAGTATGTCTCTACATGTTTTAAGAATAGCTGCTCTATTCTAATCTTGATCCTCTTAATCCCCAGCCTACCCTCTCTCAATGGATAGCAAACAGAAGACCATGCAACCTTGGCACCAAAAAGGGACAAAGAAGTACCCCTCCAAGAAATGATGCCAAAATACTCTCAATCCGTCTAACAGTAGCTGCTGGCAAAAGAAACATTGATGACCAATATACCTGTATGAGAATAGCACCGACTTGATCAGTTGTTAGTCGACCTGCGTAGGTCAAGGATGTAGACGTCCATAGCCTAATCCGGAACAAAATTCGCTGTATAGAGGCCTACAATCAGAACGTCGAAGCCAGAGTAGAGATCAGAGGAACCCCTAGATATCTAACCTGTAACTAGCCCAACTGGAAACCCATGATAGACTGTAACCCAATCTGCTCCTCATCTGTAACCCCAGAAGAAACAACTGACTCTTCTCTGCATTAGTCACCAACCCAAGACCTTGGCAAAATAATCCGAGCCGATTTGATCAAGCATAGAGGAGCATCTGCCGAAAAAATACCATCAAACATCCACAAAACACAATGAGTAATAGACCGCTCCATGATATAAACCTAGGCTGTGAGGTTCATCCTCCACACGTTCCAGAAACACTGTGCATCCCAGAATTCCTTGAGTTATCCGGTTGGTTGCCTGATACAATGCGTCAACCTCCAGTACAGAGTTCAATTACATATTGGTTCATACGCTTTTGGTTGGCGGAAACAGTTATTTATCTCCCCTCTTGTTTTCGGTTCTTGATTCGAAGAACAAAAAATTTGAATTCATCCTAGTCATAGTCTTCTGCGTCTTGTGATACGTTCTTGTCTTTGTGATTTGTTGTTCTTAGTCTCCTTGAACTTCCTTCTTTTAATTTTTCGTGCTTTAG